CCCCACAACCTCACAGCCACATCACTAAAGGTCTACTTACAGCAGTTTCTCTTACCTGGTACATCATGTTTAGCTATCAAGAAAAAATTCCATGGCATACCAAAAGGTCAAAAACACAATTTGAAGAGACAGAGCAAGCATCACACATGGCAGGAATGTTGCAATTCTCAGAACAGGAAATTAAAACAACTATGGTTAACATGCTAACGGCTCTAATAGATAAAGTAGACAGCATACAAGAACAGATGGGCAATGTCAGCAAAGAGAAAGAAATACTGAGAAAGGAACCAAAAAGAAAGGCTAGAGATAAACACTGTAACAGAATAAAGAGTGCTTTTGATGGGCTTATTAGTAGACTGGACATGGCTGAGGACACATCAATAAAAATCTCTGAGCCCGGCCGGGCGTGGCTCAGCGGTTAAGCGTCGACCTAGGATCCAGGAGATCGGGGTTAGATTCCCGGTCAGGGCACATGCCCGGGTTGCAGGCTGCAGCCAATCAATGACTCCCTCATCACTGATGTTTCTGTCTCTCTCTCTCCCTCTCCTTTCCTCTCTCTGAAATCAATAAAGATATATTTAAAAAAAAAAAGTCTCTGAAACTGAAAAGCAAAGAGAACAAAGGCTAAACATAGAAGACTACCCTACATGTAACAGGAATTCCAAAAGGAGAAGAAGAGAGAAAGAAACAGAAGAAATATTTGAAACAATGATTTAGTTTCCCCAAAATTAATGTCAGACACCAAATCACAGATCCAGGAAGTTCAGAGAATACCAAGCAGGATAAATGCCCAAAAAACGATCTCGGTATATCATTTTCAAATTACAGAAAGTCAAAGATAAAGAAAAAGCCCTGAAAGAAGCCAGAGGGAAAAAACACCATACCTATAGAAAAACAAAGAATTACATCAAACTTCTCAGACCCAAGAAGAGAGTGGAGTGAAATATTTAAAGTATCAAGAGAAAAAGCCACCCAAATTCAAATGGTACAGCCACCTAGGAAAACAGTTTGGTAATTTCTTACAAGACTAAACATACTGTTACCATAAGATCCAGCAATCATGCTCCTTGGTATTTACCCAAATGAGTCGAAAATTTATGTCCACACAAACACCTGCACATGGATGCTTACAGAAGCTTTATTTATAATCACCAAAACTTGGGAGCAACCAGATGTCCTTCAGGAGGTGAATGGACAATTAAACTGTGGTACATCCAGACAATGGAACATTATTCAGCGCTAAAAAGAAATGAGCTATCAAGCTATGAATAAACAAGGAGGAAATGTAAATGCATATCACTTAAGTGAAAGAAGCCAATCTGGAAAGGCTACATACTGTATTGATTCCAAGTATAGGAAATTCTGGAAAAGGTAAAACTATGGAGANCGTAAATGCATATCACTAAGTGAAAGAAGCCAATCTGAAAAGGCTACATACTGTATTGATTCCAAGTATAGGAAATTCTGGAAAAGGTAAAACTATGGAGATAGTAAAAAGATCAGGCGTTACCAGGGGTTGGTAGAGAGGGATAAACAGGCTAAGCACAGATGATTTTTAGGACGGTGAAAATATTCTGTGTGACACTATAATGATAGAAGCATTTCATTATACATTTGTCTAAACCCACTAGGATGTACACTAGGAGTGAACCCTAAGGTAAACTATGGATTTGGGGTGATAACAACGTACCAATGTAGTTCATTTTTGGTAAAAAAAAAAAAAAAGTGAACAGAAAGCACCTCTCTGTTGAGTGATGTTGATAATGGGGGGGAAGGCAGGAAGTATATGGGAAATCTCTGTANCGTACCAATGTAGTTCATTTTTGGTAAAAAAAAAGTGAACAGAAAGCACCTCTCTGTTGAGTGATGTTGATAATGGGGGGGAGGCAGGAAGTATATGGGAAATCTCTGTACCTCCCTCTCAGTTTTATTGTAAAACTAAAACTGCTTTCATTTAAAGTAAATAANGGGGGGGAAGGCAGGAAGTATATGGGAAATCTCTGTACCTCCCTCTCAGTTTTATTGTAAAACTAAAACTGCTTTCATTTAAAGTAAATAAATAAAAAAAATTTTTAAAAAAAGGAAAGGATACCTTTAGATAAGACAGTTTGTAATTGAAGCCACTGTGTGAAATTATTTCTAGAGAACTGTCAATACGATATGCCATCTATTTCTACAAATAAAAGACGTAGGCAGTGAAAGTGAATAGTCAAAAAATACGTAAGAGTCTATTTTAAAAGGTTTAAAAAAACAACTACAAAGCAATGAAGTCTGGGAGAAAGCTTGGTCCAAAGACATGCTTAGACCAAGACATGCTGTTGTGGCTGAGCGCAACCCTTAGCTAAGACGAAGGCAAAATGAGAAACATCACCAGCTGCACAGCTTCCATTACTAAGTAAAAGGATCCCCGTGGACATATGAGAACTGAACCCTGAAAGGAACCAATCATATACAGGTCTTTATAGAAGAGTGATTTAAATTTTTTTTTCCTTTTTACTGAATTTATTGGGGTGACACTGGTTAACAAAATTATACAGGTTTTGTTACCAGGGGGAGAAGGCCTCANATTTTTCCTTTTAACTGAATTTATTGGGGTGACACTGGTTAACAAAATTATACAGGTTTTGTTACCAGGGGGAGAAGGCCTCATCTCCCCCAGTTGCTAGTGGGAGTGGGGTTCTTGGGGTACCACTGGAATAAGCATTTCCAGAGGCCCCCACAGGAGGATGAGATATGGTAGAACACTTTATTTCCATGGACTTATATCCCTGATTTTCCAAAGTCCCATTTCCGTTTGTCCAGTCATAGAAGAAGTGTAGTTGGGGCTTCAGTAGAGCTAAAATCAGAGCCAATGTCCAGAGTTTCCTTTCCATGTTGGAGCGGGTCCAGTTCAGCATCAGGCTAGCTGTAGTCCATTAGTCCATTGTGTGTGGGGGTCCACATAGCCATGGGCCAAATGGGCAAATGCAAGAGAATGAAGAGAGTGTGCCCAGAGCAAAAAGAGTCCCAAAAGCACAAGAGATCGAGCTCCTTTGTTCAGGGGATTATGTATTTAAAATCTTCAAGTACTTGCAGTGGCCATACCCATTCTGGCCAATCATCTCTGTGCCCAGGTGTGACTGACAGGCAAGTATCTTCCCTATGTCACCCCAACTTTATGAGGCATGCATCTATCTTCCCTTTCTTGGGTCCCTCCCCCAGTGTTTTGCAGGGAACATGTCTATAATGTCTGGCCTTCCATGCTCCTTTCCTGTTATTAATAACTAGTTAATTACAACAATATCAGTTTCAGGTGCACACTCCACAACACATAATCTGTACACTGTACTGTGTGTTCACCACCCCAAGTCAAGTCTCCTTCCATCATTATTTATTCCCCCTTTACTCTCCTCTACTTCCTGCCAACCCTGCCAATCACCACACTGTCTGTGGCATGGACCATCTTTAAAAGTCAAGGGTACAATGGATTTGTAGTTCTTCGATGGGATTTCTGGGGGGAACTAATGCAATATAGCCTAGATTTGACCTGGTATATGAGATATCTATAAAAAGGGCTGATAAATTAGAAGTTTAGTTCTTGATTGGCTTGTCTGCCCTGGGCTCAGGAAGTAGGGAATGGCTTGATGTGCTGTGAATGAATGATTCTCTACTAGACATGCTCCCATTATACCACGGTTTTCATAACTTTATGCCTTTGAAAATGCTGTTGCAACTGCCTAGAAGGTTCTTTCCCACTCTGTCTACCAATTAAACTCCCTCTCATCCTTAAGACTCTAGCCCATTGCTAGTCAAGTTAGTGTCTTCCTCTCTATGTGGCTGTAGCTGTGATTATATGCACATAACACAGATATTGGTGGTGTGTGTTTATGAATCCACCTCCCCCCGTGGAGGGCAGGGAACATGTTCCACTCTTCTTTGCATCCCCTGGGGGATGTGCAGAACAGTATAGATACCGTTCAATAAGTGCTTGATTAATTAACTGAATGCCTAGCTAATTAACCATAATGGAAAACTTCGTTGCTACAGGATCTGTCCAGGACGCCGCTTTGGAATCCCTGCCCCAAGTGAGGATGAAGTTACTTTAGTCTGGCTCATCCTAGAGGCGGGTCAGCATGATTCATAGACCCGTGTTATGCCTTTTCCAACACCTGTCTGTAGAATGAAGTTTCCCCTAAGGGTTCTCCAGATTCCTTCTGGGCACAGAGGCCACCGGCCGAACAATGCTGGCCAGTGTCAGGCAGCGAAAGTGTCAGAGATTAGACACTAGACCCAAAAGAGGGAGACTGCATAACCTTTTATAGGCATGAAAGGGCTGTTTGACCAGCCAGCATGAATGACTTTTAGTATAAAGCTGAGCTGGCTTCTGGGTCAGGGCTTCATCCAGAGTGAGCCCAGGAGTCTGGGTGTACTCTGCCATCTCACCTCTCCCTGCACTCTCCCTTTCACAGAGCCACCCTGCCTCTTCACATGTGCTCAAGGGGTTTCCTCTATCTGGAATTATCTGCTCCACTCCTACCCACTCCACAATCTACTGGTGAACATCTACTCATCTTTTAAAAGGCAGATCAGGCATCACCTTCCAAAGAAAGCCTCTTCTGACCCCCACCACTCCCAGGCCCCAGGAGGCACTGACTCTTCCATGCCCTCTTATCACAGCACCTATCACTCCATCGCTGCATTTGTGGGATGAATCTGCAGAGATCCCTGCTGTGAGCCCGGGGCAATTAGGGACAAAGAGCCAGGTCCTCCCATCATCACAGAGAATAGTCTCAGGCCAAGCTGGAGATAAGAGCCTCAGATGCACCACAGACGGTCTGCGTGTACACAGCAAACAGGGTTCTGAAGGTGGGTTGTGCGATCCTGCTGAGTGTGGACCCTCAAAGGCCCATGTGTGAGCCAGCGTGGCTGGCAGCCAGGGAGGCAGGCTCTCCGAGGGGGGTGATGCACCCACCCTGTGGTTTTCAGGCCTTGCTCAGGAATTTGTCTGCTCTCAATGGTGACATACAGCTTTGAAGTACATCTTTCTTCCCTTTTCTGCTAGAGAAAGGAAACTAACTTGGAACAGGAGAATGCTGCAAATTAAACTGTCTTCCCTGCAAGGAATGCAAACATCCTTGGCAGGGTGCAGAGGCCACTTGTGGTTAAGAAGGAGCGATGATGGCTCAACCCTGAGAGATCCGGAGCCACAAGGAGCCACAGGAAAACTCCTCAGATCCTGAGTCAGTTCACAAAAGAAATTAAGAATTAGAGAAAATGGTACCAACTGTTTCTTTCATTTCTTCTATTAAAACTTGTTCTTCAAAAGTCAGTCATCTGCTCCAGGAGTTGATATTAAGTTCCACATTTTAAGGGAAGAGAACCCTTTTAAAAAATTAGTCAGAAAAGCCTCTGGAATTCCCTCCCTCTCCCTGAAACCTGGTTTTGATTTTAGCTTTCCTGTTCAGGCTGGGTGGCCAGGCACGCTAAGCACAACACAACAGCACACTTCTACAATTACAGAACCCAGTTTTTAAAAGCTGGCTTAGCTTTTAAAGATCAATTTAGCAAAATAATAAATACATAGCACTTACTAAAGGCTAGACTCTGTTCATATGCTATATATGAATTAATTCATTTAATCTTCCCAACAATGCTGAAGGACTCTTATGATGTCCGTTTTCTAGATAAGGACCTGAGGCTGAGAGGGTCACCACTTGCCCTGGGTCCCACAGCTAGAGACTGAACGCTGGGGTTTCCAGCCAAGCAGCAGCTGGGCTCCAGAACGTACGCTTTTAACCACTAGGCTCCCCCACCCTCAGCTAAAGGCCACATGGTGAGGTGTGCAGGACATAAAGGATGGTCACTGACCATAGTGGGCTTATAGAAAAGCTAAATTGGGTTTCTGGAGGGAGTATGTATGGGCACAGATGAATGAGGGCAAAGAAGGAGAAGCTGAAGCACCCAGTGGGGACTCAAAGAGGCTGCTGCTTGGATGGGCGATGACTGAGAGCAGCCAGAGGGCCATATGGATGGGTCCAAGAGAACAACGAGGGTAAAAACTAAAGAGAGCCATAAGGCAAGCAAATACCTAGATGTATGGTAGGCAGTTAGATAGGCACGCACAGAGCAAGGACAATGGGCCAGGTACAGAGGGTCACCAGGGTGGAAAGCCCCAGGTGCCTAGCAATGGACAATTGTAGGAAGGGTCTTCATTCCCAGGGTGACCTTTCCTCCCCTAGTATATTACTGGTCATGCAGTTTGGACCCCTTGACCTTTCATATCGCTGGTCATTCGGTTTGGGCCCACTGACCTCTCCTCCCTAGAGATAACATCTAGGCCTCGGTTGTATTTCAGGTTCATGCCCAAAAGCAGCAAAACCAGACCAGTGACACTAAGGCTGATCTCAGGACCAGTTGCATTGAATAATGACTCCCTGCCCTGGCGCTGACCAATTAATAAGTGGAGACCTAGACCCTGAAAGGACACACGTAGAAATTTGCTGAATATTCTATTGAGGTTACCCTGAAGAACCTCCCCTAAAATCTCCACCCTTAAAACCCTTAGGACAGGATCCAGAGTGCTCTCTTTCTTGGAAGCACATCCTCACTTTTCCCTTCCCCCCTCCCCCTCCCCCTTCCTCCAGGCCTGTTACCTTGACTTTTCTCACTTTTAAGCTCCAAGGCCCTTCCTTTGCCTCTATAACTTGTTTTCTAAGCCCATTTCTTCTACAAATCACTTCTACCTCTGTGATTTTCTAAATAAATGTTCTCTTATAGTTTGAGTCTTGGCTCTAAATTCTTTCCTGGCCAGAACTCAAGTACTGAGGTTGCTGATCCCAGGTCCTGTCTGACCCCACTGGTCTAACACCTGGTGCCGTTCCCACAGCCACCAAGAGATGCATCCAAAACTGAGGATACGGACAAGTGCAGAAGCCAATGAGGGGCCGGGAGACCAACGTGGACAAGGAACAAGGGCTAAGGTCCCATGGGGACAGGCAGTGGGGTGGCCCAGCTGAGCCTCCTGGTATGTGGTTGATGCAGGTACCTGAAGGCCACAGGGCTGTGAGGAAGAGGCCTGTGTTAGGGAGTGTCCTGGTAAAATGACCACAGACATTTGAAGCTGGCTTACTAGCAGTAAAAATGGCACTGCAGATGAACCAGAATGGACTCATCAGGAAATGTTTGGCTGGACCCCACAGCTCCGTTGGGTGGGAGGCGACAATTCTGTTTCTCCCTAAAAGGCACCAGGGGGAAATTTCCCTTCAGTAGTCACAGTCTCACTTGCTCAGAGACCTTCTTCCCTGAGGGTACGGATGGCTTAGAGCAAGCCTGCCACCATGTCACACCCTATAAATTTTGAACACTAAGTAAAAACTAAGCTACAGAATGAAAGCACAGAGGTCATTAGCAAAGTAGCAATGATCTTGTCATGTCACTGTGGGGATTTGCCAAGTAAATAATTTCCTTTCCAGCCACCAAGTATCATGATACAACCAAGATTTCAATTTCTTCCTGACTGGTCTCTCAGATTTATGTTCAATCATGTGATGGGCCCTCTTACTGCTTTTCTCTGCATTACTTAATCAAATGGCGTGCAGGTTGACCCTGGCATGTCTTAAAGTTGGGGTTATTTATTGCTATGGTTGCTTGTGTAGGGTCATTCTGGGGCCTAATCTGCATACGTTTCTCAGGAAAGCTGAGAAGTGATTTGCACACAAACCCCCAGGTTTCTTGGGAGGGGCTGTGAAGAGGACCGTGGAGCAGCTGAAGGACAGATTCCCCACATTTAGGGCCCAGCTACCCAAGGGGAGACTCTAGTCAAATCCCAAAAGAGGGCACTCTGGGAAAGTGAGTTCCCACACCCCCTCAAGTCAGGAGTGAGCCAGTCAACACGTGCTCTGCTTCAGAGGGTATCTCGGTTGGTTTGGTCTATCCTGGTGCCATGAGTTGCCATAGTCCCCCAGCTCCTGTAAGGTCCTTCCTAGAGAGGTGTACTTGAGAGCCAGACTGCAACTCCAATGGACTTCCACAACACTCCTTTAACCCCTCTTGGGGTCACCACTTGCCCTGGGTCTCACAGCTAGAGAGACAGAAAGCTGGGGAGTGCAGTCAGGCAGGAGCTGGGCTCCAGAATGCATACTTTTAGATTTTTAAAATATAATTCTCTTATCTATCTTTTCCACATATACTGAGCACTATATAATTTTTGCTTCAACCATCAAAAATGTTTTAAGAAACTCATGAGAAGTAGGATAGTCTATTTGCCCCTATTTTTACCCATTCTGATGTTTTTTTCCTTTTTGAAATTCCAAGCCTCCTTTATTATCATTTCCTTTATGTATAGAGAACTTTTTTTAGCCATGCTAAAAGGACAGGTTTACTAGCAACAAAATCTCTTAGTTTCAAGGAAATCTATTTTAATGTCCTATAAAAAGTCACAACTTCCATATTATTTTAGTTCTTATAGTTTTCCTTTGTTTGTATGTACAATTTTATTGCTAGAAATGTGCACATATCCAGCAAAATGTATGTTTCTTGTGCTACTCTTAAAAAGAGTATTTTGTATTGTCTTCTTTTAATAAACTTTTACCTAAGACCTAAAAAATGAAAAAGCTCTTAATTTTTCTTTGTCTGAGAATGTCTTTATTTCCCCTTCATTATTTTCTTATTTATTTTTATTTTCTTATTTTTTTTAATCCTCACTGGAGGATATTTTTTCCATTGCTTTTTCAGAGAGAGTGGAAGGGAGAAAGAGAGAGAAACATCGATTGGTTGCCTCTTGCATGTGCCCTGACAGGGGCCAGGGATCGAGCCTGCAACCAAGGTACATGCCCTTGGCCAGGTATTGAACCCGGAACCCTTCAGTACGCGGGCTGATGCTCTAACCACTGAGCTAAACCATCCAGGGCTCTCCTTTATTCTTGAAAGATATTTTTGCTGGCTATAGATTGGTGGTTGACAATTTTGTTCTTTCAAAACTTCAAAAATGTTATGCCATGTTCCTCTGGCCTCCATGGTTTCGGATGAGAAACCTGTCATTTGAATTGGTGTTTGCCTATAAACTGCGTTATTTCCCTCTGGCTGCTTTCAAGATTTATTTT